ATATATATATAATATGTGTATGTGTTAATATATGCATACCACACACATATACACACATATATATATACCCATTTTAAAAAATACACCCATTGTAGAAATAGTATGTATGTGTGTGTGTATAAATGTATACACATATATACTATTATAGAAATGCATATACATATATACTCATTATAGAAATATATTGTTTTGGTTACCTCTAGCAACGCCTCAGAAGGAAGGTTAGGCAATCTACTTCCGTAGTGATACCGCCCTGGAAAACCAAGGAGGGGTCGTTATGAGTTGGGTCCGACTCAATGGTACATAACAGCAACAACAACAAGTGCTGCTCTAACAGAAAATACCACAGGTGGAATGGCTTGAACAAACAGGAGTTTATTCACTTACAGTTTTGGAGATTAGAAGTCTGAGTTCAAAGTGCTGAGCTCAAGAGGCTGGGTGAAAGCCCCTCAACCTTGAGCTTCACTCTGCCTCTTGCTCCCAGCCCACTGAAGCTGAAGGCTTTCTTCAATCAGGCAGCTGCTGGCTGCTGAGGCTGCCAAACCCAAAGTCAACAAGTAAAAAGCCCTGATGTTCCAAACCACACAGCAGGCCATTGATTCAAGTCCATTGAAAGTCGCAAGATTTGCAGAGCATTGCAGGCGACTGCATGAAGACCTAGCTACATGCAGGGTTCAAGTGTGCCATAAAGCTAGAGGCCTTCCTCAAAGCTGTTGCTTATATACTGAAAGCAGACCACATCTATAAAGCAGCTACTCAGCTGCTCTGGTAGATTCCACCATGGAACTGATTGCCAATCTCACCATGGGGAATAACTACATCCACCTGCCCAGCCACTCAACCAGGCCACCCCAAGTGGACACACAGCCTTAACTACCACATTTATATATATGTATGTATGTATGTGTGTGTATACACACACACACCCCCCACAACCCACACACATACATATATGTACATATACCCATTGTAGAAAATATGGAAAATCATGAAAATGTAAAAAAATGAAAGATTAAATTCTTGTGATAATACCTCAATTGGAAGTGGTCTCATTTAGGATTTCAACATTTTTCTTTCCATTCATTTCTTCATGATGTTTACATATAAGATGAATTTTATACCCTCCTTTCTCTATTGAGTTTATCACTTAAATGTCACTTGATGGTAGCACACACTTCCTTCCGTGGAGTCAATGTAACTCATCACTTGACTGTTGGGCATTTGTTTACCACTCTTTTACCCTCTGGACAGGACATGAAACCAAGGCTCTTCTCAACAACAATGGGCCCCGCTACAAGCGCAGCCAGCTGGAGCGGCAGATGAATTGTGATGTCCTGTGGTGCGTCCTCATACTCATCTGCATGTCTCTGTTCTCAGCTATTGGTAAGTCCACTAGGCTGAGGATCAAGGCAAAAGTTAGACTCTGCTGTATTCATTGCAGGAGAAGGTAGCTGAGTTGGCAATGGCTGTCCTGATCCACCACTCTAGAAGTCAAACATTTCTCATGGACATGACCCCAAGGAAGGGTCATATGAGCATGAGATTCCCAGAAGAAAGGGCCCCACAGAGTAATGTCATTTTCTAATTGGCAGATTCTTTGATGGCAAAGTGGCATAATCATACTAGTAATGAGTAAAGAAGTGCTAGTGAACTTGCCATGAACTAAGAGTAACAGCAGGAGAAGCAGAAAGTGCTGCTACCCGTGAAAATAAAAAATATCATTAGCATCCTAAGAAAGAGCAAGCAGTTACATTGTTGGTGGGCACTGGTGCTCCACAGCTTTTGCTGGCCCCAGAGCCACCACAGTGCCTTGGGAAGCAAGTGTGCAAGGCCCCAGTAATACCTGCACCATAGTGCCTAAGGCATTTGACTGCTAACCATAAGGCTGGTGTAGTCCACCAGCCACTACTCAGGAGGAAGACTGAGCAATCTACTCCTGTAGTGATACCACCTCGGAAACCCAAGGAAGGGTCTCCATGAGTCGGATCTGACTCAACGGCAGTGAGTTTGGTTTGGTTTGGTTTTGTATCACTTACCCAAATACTGTCATGCATAATGGGCTGCCCCAACAGGAGGATGTGACATCATCAGAGAATTCACTGGTCAAAGAAGACCCACCTTGGGTATGAGAAAGACCCTGTTAACCTGTAGATAGGGGGCCCAGCAGACAGCCTGAAATGTATTTCCAAGAAGAGACAGTAGTTGGCAGGGTCAGCACCTCCAGCCTGTCTTTTCATCAAGTACCTCCTGAGACTTAGGTACACATTTTCTGAGTGTTTCTGAGACACGTACTAGAATAGTCCTTTCTGTGGATTCATGTGGTCTGCTCTCAGCTTAGCCAATATGCACAGGTATAACTCCTGTGTTCTCACCAGAGGTGGAAGTCGATTCCAACAGTGGTAAACTATGGGTGTGAAAAAGTAGCCAAGTTTCAACTCCTCATGGCAGTTTGACCTTGAATGCCAAAGGTACTAGATATTTTTGCCATCTTACATTGTTGTTGTTGTTATGTAGTTAGGTCCTATCGAGTCAGCTCTGACTCATAGTGACCTTATGTACAACAGAACAAAACACTTGCCTGGTCCTTTGCCAGCCTCACAATACTTGCTATACCTGAGCCCATTATTACAGCCACTGTGTGAATCCATCTCCTTGAGGGCCTTCCCCTTTTTTTGCTGATGCTCTACTTTACCAAGCATGATACCCTTCTCCAGGAAATGGTCCCTTCTGACAACATGACCGAAGTAGGTGAAATGACGACTGGCCATTCTCACTTCCAAGGAGCATTCCGGCTGCACTTCTTCTGAGAGAGAGATGTTAGTTCTTTTGGCTGTGCATGGTGCCTTCAGTGTTATTTGCCAGCATCACAACTCAAAAGCGTCAACTCTTCTTCAGTCTTCCTTATTCATTGTCCATCTTTCACATGCATATGAGGTGATTGAAAATGCCATGTCTTGGATTAGATATACCTTAGTCTTCAAAGAGACAGCTTTGCTCTTCAGCACTTTAAAGAAGTCTTTTGCAGCAGATTTTCCCAGTGCAATATTTCATCTGATTTCTTGACTGCTGCTTCCACTGGTGTTGATTTTTATAAGGCAGGCTAATAAAACCAAATGTGCTCAAATTGAGTAAGTCAAGTTAAAGTTTTGCTGTAATTTACACTAACATCGTTCTTAGTTTTCTGTTGGATGAAACATGTTTCTCTTTGGACATTTCTACAGGACATGGACTTTGGGTGTGGCGGCATCAAGAGAAGAAATCCTCGTTTGATGTCCTGGAGTCTGATGGCAGCTCTTTGTCCCCAGTTATAGCTGCGGTTTACTCATTTTTGACAATGATAATAGTTCTGCAGGTAACAGTCTTAAGTGCCATACAGTAAGTGCTATGCCTTTCTGAAGAGAACTTAAAGTCATCATAATCTGTGAAGAAATTCCTCTAAGTTCTGAATTGGGGAGGACCACAAATTTATTTGCCTAAAACAGGCACTTCATTTTTCCACCTAATTTATCAGTAGTCTCTTTTCTTGGGTAATTTTCAAGTTAAAATTCTCCTTTGATGTTCTTAGAATTCATATGTCTTTAAGGGTTGAATTTTTTTGTTTTGTTTTATTGTTTCTTTCTTCAATTGATTTTTAAATCGTTATTTTGTTAAAATCTTAGATTTACAGAAAAACTGGAAAGAATAGAATAATAATATGGAGAGTTCCCATATGCCTTTTACCCAGCTTCCCCAACTGTTGATATCTTAAGATGCCAGGGCACATTGTCAAAACTAAGGAAGCAGCATAGGTCCATTGCTGTGAACAAAGCTCCAAACGTCATTCAGGTTCATTAATCTATCAATGTGCTTTTTTGTTCCAGACTCGATTAAGGATATCACATTGCATTTAGCTGCCAATGGTATTACTATTAGTGTATTTCACTATTTGTTCAAATGCTTCCTCAAAAACACCTAGTCATTAACTGATACTCTTTGGCCAGAAAGACTTCTTAAGGAGTGGGCAGGGAGAGGTTCAGTCCTCTGAAGGGGTGAAAAGGAGCAGTGAGGGTTACCACCATCCTTTTTGGGAACAAAAAGTGTGTCAAACAGAGGAAAGTTGCCCAGCCTTTACCTAAGAGGAAAATGCTACTACTGTCATATGTGTTTCATACGATAGAAAAATCTTTATTTTACAATATATGTGAATTTTATTCTAACCTTTAGTTAGTACTATTCTAAGTGTTCCCTTAACATATTTAAATTACCAGTTAATGTTTCCTATTTTATCTAGCTTTGTTGTTGTTGTTGTTATTTGCCATCAAGTCGGCCCTGACTCATAGTGACCCCTCTTTGGGTTTCCGAGGCAGTATCATTTTATCTAGCTAGTCTAGGTATAATATTCTGAGCTTATACACATCACTTTAATACTATTAAATAAATAAATAAACACTAATTTTGTGAACATTATCAAGACATATGGAGCTCTGCTAGCGTAGTGCCTCAGGCACTTGACTGCTACCAGAAGGCTGGTGCTTCAAACCTACCAGCCACTCCTTGGAAGGAAGGTTGGGCAATCTACTTCCATATTGATACCGCCTCGACTCAGCGGCACATAACAACAACAATTAAAGCATAACTTTGCATGTTTTTATAAAAACTTTGTTCCTGGATGGCCGGCAAGATGGTGGACTAGCCAGAAAGACTGCACAGACCCTCTTCAACAAAGAAAAGGGAAACCAATTAACACAGACACAGAAGATAATCCTGGACCCCTGAGCCTTGAAGGGAAGGATATAGAAGTGGATTAAACCCCAACCAGCAGAAGAATTTGCGGAAAAATACCAAAAAAGGAGGCAGACGGAACTGAGGTCTGGCAGCGATCCTGAGTGATCCTGACAGCACAGACAGTTTGGAGATTCCTGAGTGCTGGTAGGACCTAAGAATTAACCTAAAAATCACCCTGCTAGCCAGGGACAGCACAGAGGATTGTGCATGGTGGCTGGGGAACAAACGGAGAAGGTGAAGAGAAAGGTGGGCTGAGCTGTGGACTTTTGCTGGTCTGGAGGCACTGCCATTTGGAAGGTTTAAAAAGCAGCTTAACTATTTTGGATATTTAAAGAGACAGCACTCTCACAGATTTCTGGGGCATAAGAACATGTTCTGCTTTCCAGCAACCCCAAGGACACTTGGGACCTGCAAGACTGAAAAGGTACGACATTCCTCTTGTTACTCTTATACCTCACACCCGCTTGGTGAACGGAAGAGCGGCCATCCCCCACTCCCACCTGCCTCCTGGGCCCACAGGAACTCCATCACAGTCTGTGTGCTCAGACAGAGCCTGGGTGCCCTGCCCTGTCTGCCATTGATTTTTTTTCTCTTTTTTTATTTTTATTTTTTTTCTTTTTCACTTTCATTTTTCTGGTGATTACTTTGCTTGTATTTGTCTGTTTTAAAACAACTAATATTATTAATACATTTGTCCTTTTTATTATTATTCTTAATCTTCTCCTCCCAGGTCCTAGTTTTCAGGATTTTTTCTTTTCCCTGTGGCGGTTGAAATGTTTTTTGTTTTTCAAATTTAAGTTTGTTTTTTTTTTTTCTCTTTTCCCCCTTTTTTCTCATGGTTAACCCCATTCTTTTTTTCTTTTTGCATTTTTCCCATTTTTTTTTTTTTTTTCATTTATTACTCTCCTTCTCTACTTTTTTTTTCTTAGTGCGTTATCCCCAGGTATTGCAGGTTTTCTTGTTTTTTCTTCTTTTATTTCCCGTTTTTCATTTTTTGGTTACTGTTCCTGTGCGATTACATGGTGTGTTTTTCATCCATGGGCTTTTAGATTTTTGGTGGTTATTCAATTGTAATTTGTGTCTAACTGAGTGGGAGACAACAATAGTCCCCATAAGACACAACTACACCCACACCTCCTGCAACTTCACTTACTGAGCGAGAGCCACTACCTCCTTCTCTACCAACGGGCCAGTGACAAAAGA